ATATATGAGTTCATTAAAAATCTTTTATCCAACAGCTTATCGCCCGTATTCATGCGCCAAATGCTAAAGTTCGTGAGCTAATACGTAGTTTACTCGTCGACGTTGGTAAAGAACATCCACAAGCGTTAATATATCCGTTAACAGTCGCTTCGAAATCTCAAAGTGTTTACAGGCAAATGGCAGCTTCTGCTGTAATGGATAAACTGCGGTCACATAGTGCAGTTCTTGTTGAACAAGTATGCCTTGATCCAAAGATTGATACTTGATATATAATAATCAGTTTAATTTAGCCAATTTATCTTACTAGGCTTTACTAGTAAGTCAAGAACTTATACGTGTCGCCATTTTATGGCACGAAATATGGATGGAAAACCTAGAAGAGGCATCAAGATTATATTTTATCGATCGCAATTTCGATGCTATGTTCCAAATTTTGGACGAATTACAAGATCGTCTCGATCGTGGACCGGAAACTTTGCGAGAGATGGCATTTGTTCAAGCATACGGGCGAGAACTCCAGGAAGCTGGAGGGTGGTGTAAAAAATATAAGCAAACTGGTGATATGACATTCCTAGCACAGGCGTGGCAGATTTATCATGAAGTAAGAAATAAATATGTGCGTTAATGTTAGGATTATTTTAGATTCAATTGATTTAATATAAATTTATAAATCAGTTGTTTAAAAAAAATAACTACACAAGTTGGAACGATTACTTCGCTCGATTTCCAATATGTCTCTCCAAAATTACTTGCTGCACGTAATTTAGAACTGGCAGTACCAGGTAAATAGATAATTGATTTGTAGTTTTCATTTTAAATGTCAATAACATATTAAATTTGCTCAGGGACCTATAAGAGTGGTGAACCTGTGACAAAAATTGCCAGCTTTGTGCCAACAGTCAACATTATTTCCTCTAAGCAGCGGCCACGAAAATTAAACTTAATTGGAAGTGATGGTAAAGAGTATCAATTTCTATTAAAAGGTAATGATATTTATGATCTCTTTGTCGTAAATAAGTCGCGAATAAATAAAGATCATATAAAATTTCTTAAATTGCCTAAATTTCTATAGGTCACGAAGATTTACGCCAAGATGAACGTGTAATGCAACTGTTCGGTTTGGTCAACACACTTCTTTCTATCGATTCTGAAACCTTTAAGCGTCATTTGCACATTCAAAGATACACAGTCACACCACTGACACCGAATATTGGGCTTCTTGGATGGGTTCCTAATTGTGATACTCTTCATGCTCTAATCCGAGATTATCGTGAAAGCAAGAAGATTCTACTGAATCTTGAACATAGATTGATGTTACAGGTTTGTTTCATTAAAAATTTTCATCGTAATTTATTTCACTTATAATTGATATCATTACGAATCGTACTTTAGATGGCCCCCGATTATGATCAATTAACAATAATCGAAAAAGTTGAAGTTTTCGAATTTGCATTAGCTAACACAACAGGACAAGATTTGTATAGGGTGCTTTGGCTAAAGAGCAAAAATTCCGAAGCTTGGCTAGAACGAAGAACCAACTATACTCGATCTTTAGCTCTAATGTCCATGGTAGGATACATTCTTGGACTTGGTGATAGGCATCCGTCAAACATTATGTTGGATCGTTACACGGGGAAGATAGTTCACATCGATTTCGGCGACTGTTTTGAGGTAAAGTTTTTACTTAGGGACAATCAATAAAAACACCTAATTTATTGGTTGCATTTTAATCAGGTCGCAATGACGCGTGAAAAATACCCCGAAAAAATCCCATTCCGATTAACACGCATGCTAACGAACGCGATGGAAGTAAGCGGAATTGAAGGCAATTTCCGCACCACTTGTGAAGCAGTAATGAACGTTTTGCGAAAAAATAAGGAAAGTCTTATGGCAGTCTTGGAGGCTTTCGTTCATGATCCCTTGATAAATTGGAGAATTATGGCAAATCCAAGTCCACGACAAGGTATTATTATACACACATACATACATACAGACATATATATATATTTACTCAAAACAGAGTTGGGTTGATACTGATTTTAAAATAACCCAACCTAACTTAATCCAATACATAAACAACTCTTAAGTTATATCTGAGATGATTAAAATTCTACGTTTAATTTGAATAATAGATGGTGAAACTCTAAATGCAGTTGGTTCAAGTAATCGTCGAGCGCGCGACATCATAAACCGCATATCAAATAAGTTAACAGGTCTGTATAAAGTATCTTGATTGCGTTATTTACAAAAAGTAATCATTTTTATATTAAATTAACTATAGGCAAAGATTTCAACCCTAACCAAGAATTGGATGTCCCATCACAAGTTGAAAGATTAATACAACAAGCGAGATCCGTGGAAAACTTGTGTCAATGCTACATTGGATGGTAAGCTACATGTAATTTTTGGTTCTTGATGTATATCAATAAAAGCGTTTTGTACTAATGATTTCTTTGTAGGTGTGCATTCTGGTGATAGTGGTCCGTAGAGATGGTAATGATAGTTTAGGTTCTAAAACATTTAGGTTTTGCAATAAAAATCTAATAACCAAGTGCTTATACATTAAGTTTCAACCTAATTTAAACCTGATTGGTTCAGAGCCAATTTTAAAATCTGGTTCTCAATATTTTGCAAGATAAAAATGAAATATATTAATAAAAATTACTTAATTCACATCAAACTTTTAGAACATATATATTTTGGCCATTTAAATAGTTTATTTATTTATTATTGATTTAATAAAATTTTGACATAATATCGAAGTTACACGAGATCTATCAAATTGAGTTCACGGTTTAATAACTCTTATACCATTCAGTTCGAGATATAAAAATACTAGCTCTCAGGCCCTGGGTGCGCAGTCTCATTTTTTTTTAGTTTTAAAGTTTTGTTAAGTTTTTAAGTTTTTTTATTATTAAATTCAAGTGAACCTAACTTGGGTCCACTTGCACCCGGGTTGGGTTTACTTGGACGCATGTTGGGTTCACCTGTACCCGAGTTGGGTTCACTTGGGTTCACATAATCCCGAATTGGGTTCACATGGTTCCGAATTGGGTTTAAGTGAACCCAAATTGGGTTCACATGGTTCCGGATTGGGTTCAAGTGAACCTGACTTGGGTTCATTTAAACCTGACTTGGGTTCAAATGAACCGGATTGGGTTCACTTGAGCCAAATAACCCCGTATTAGGTTTACTTGAACCCGACTTGGGTTCAAATATACCCGAATTGGGTTCACCAAACCCGAATTAAGTTGACTTAGGTTTGCTTGAACCCAACTTGGGTACAAATAAACCCGGATTGAACCTGACTTGGGTTCACTTGGGTTCAAGTGAACCTGAGTTGGATCACTTGAATAATATATTATTATGTTATGCATATATCATTATATTAAATATATGTCATAATATTATATACAAACCACTACACTAAAAAGTAACATATAAGTTATTTTTTTTTTTTAATATTAATGGTGAGGCCATGTCTTTAACTTTATTGATAAGTTATTTTTTTTATACATATATATATACAGTATGTATATATATATATACTGTATATACATATAGCTCTTCAAAGTTTAGCATAGGTATTTGTTTATTATGTATTCGTGCTAACTTTAATTACTTTTTAAACAGGATCCCACTTATGGGATTCCATTTATTTATATTAGTTTAATTTAAAGTTTATTAAACAGAACTCTGATTAAATAGATCCTGTTTAATGTAGATAGTTAATTATGAATCTAAATTAAGTTATGTTAATTTGATTATATTATGTTTTTGTACAAATTAAGCAATTTAATAAAATTATTAGATATCAACTTTTCCTAATAATCATTTATACCAACCTAATACCAAAAGTAAATTAAAGATTAAAGCTTAAAAGACAACAACAACTTGAAATTTTCTTGATATAAATTGTTGTCAACGAAGTCTTCAAACATGATACATCAAGAAGTAGATGTTTTGGACAGTTTGCAAAGGAGTCAAGCCTGGTTTTTCTGCTATTTTTAGGTGGACTCTCTTTTGTATTTGGTATCCAAACTGGAGAAGTTTCTAAGAACAGCAAATAGAAAAGTAAAAAAAGTTTGTTTAAAGATGGAAGATTATAAAAAACTCTTGAAACAATATTTTTTAGTTAGAAAACTCCAGAAAATTCAATACTCTCTTGCCGTCCTTTGGTTCTAAAATTTTCGATAAAAAGTAGAGAATTCAGCTTATCTTCTCCAAAAGATCAGCATTGTTTACCGCTTCCATATCAGAAAACTAGATGATGACAAATTGGCTTATATTACAGTATGAAATAAATAAAATAATAACAACAAGTCACATAGAGTTTTTAAAGTCCTTATACTTTTGGATGAAGATATAAATTTAATAGAAAAAGTCAAGCAAAGTGTTTTGAGATATACAATATGTCTCTTGTATATAATTTTTAGCCTCTAGCATAAGTTATAGTGCATCTTATTATAAGTTTATATCAAGACTCTCGTACTTAATAGTAGATCATTACTTTGTATAATTAGAAATTTTCGCCTAGTTAGCAGGTTTTCTTCTTTTTAGCAATTGTTTTTTTTAGATTCTAGTTTAAATTTTTACCCTTTAGTATTAGTATCCGTTTTTTTTAATATATTAGTTTTTATTATATACCAGAAACTTATACATATATAAAATTATACAAATTAATATCTGTATACAGTATAAAGCCATAATACTAAATTTGCAAATAATTTTAAATGTCAATATGTTTAATAACATTATTTTTTTTCTTTACAATCCTATTTACTTTATTTTGAGAACAAACTTTCATTCTTATATCAACATATGAAGAAATCTAAATCTATAATGTTCTTATCAAAAGATAAACTTATTTATAGTATACTTTACAGGTATTGTAATACCTACTTGCAGTCAGAGTAAACTATTAAACTGCTGTGTTTTACCTAGATGTGATCTGCCTAATAAATAATTGACCTCCCCAAAGATCCGGAACTTACTCTAAACTTATTTCCTTTAGATTTCTTGGCTGGCTATTGCACCACCCATCAAGATTTCTACTTTACAATAGAATGCTGTTAAACTGATAACACTTTCTTGTAAGGAAGAAAAAAAGAAAAAAAAGAATAATAGGGAATGAAAAAAAGAGGTATATAATAAAAACTAA